AGAAAGACAGCCGAGGGTACCGCATGGAAGGTTAATGCGAGTGTCCCCCTCAGAAAGAGACAAGTTTAGTAGAAAAAAATAATTCCAAACGGTTCCACAAAATGCGCGGAGCCACAGCGCATGCTGCTTCCATCTATCTGCTGAGCACCTGGAAGGGTAAATGGAAAGCGCAGTGATTGTCATGAGTTTGTGTTTCATAATCTGAATGCAAAGCCTCTGAGCGTCAGTCCTTTCCCTTCTGGCCGTGGTTTCCGTACGTCGATGCTGGATGCCGACGACAAACTGCCGTTTCTGATGAATACTTGATCTAACTGCGGCGCGAAGTTAACGCAGAGACGTGCAGCCTGCCTGTCCAAAACATAGGGCAGCTCCTCACGTCGTGTTTTGTATGAAAGCTCGCCCCTCCCCCACACGCGCCCTGCACTGGCGCGGGGGGCCAGAGGTGGCAGCTAGGGCGTTTAGCACATTTCGCGCGACGCGTTCACACATACTCACCGAGTATGCGCACAAGTGCTCACGGTGGGGAGCGACTGGGTGAAATTCTCAAAAAGGTGCAGCACTTCTAGCCGACATCGACAAAAGTCCCTCTCTGGCCCCGCGGCGAGCGGCCCCGCCGGAGGCGAAGAAAATTTCGCCATCTAGCACTTGGAGTCTAGCGCTCGCAACACATAGATTTGTGCATAAATCAACACCTCCAATCTTCCCGGGGAGTGACGGATAAAGGCGTGCGAAAGAGCTATGAATCCGAAAGCAGCGAATCAAAGTGATGGCCCGCCGCAGGCGAAGAAAATTTAGGGTGGGTTCCCTATGCCAAAGAACTCGAGGATTTCGGCGGCCGGCGCGCCGAGCACAGCGGTTCGCGCTGCCTGTATGCTCGCGCTGGCTACACCGTTGCTGTGGCCGTCTTCGTCCGTATTGTACACCGAGCTGGCGCCACAGCAGAGTACAACAACGGCTCGGACGAGCTGCTCCATGGTACTACATCATCAGAGGGCCCGGCAAGGTCCACGGCGGAGCTGGCAGTGGTGGGAGTGGTGGTAGGAACGAAGGCGCACCTGTCGGCGATTCACCGCCGTTCGTTCCCGTCTCTCAAAGCTGGTTACACCGTCGATGCGCACATCGAGGCGCTCGTGGACGAGAGAGACGTCGCCCTCCTCTTTCGTCCCGGGGCACTGTTCACGCCGGAAGGCCCCGTACACTGCCAAGTACATTAGCCTTCATCTCTCCTACCGCCGGCCGGGAGTGCAGCCGCCACCAGTGAGATTGTCCTCGACGTTGGCACCTGCGAAGTAATGAACAACCGGCAGTGCGTCATATGGCGCTATGATAGCCCTGCGGTGGACGTCCTCGACGCAGACGAGGCGGAGCTCATCTGCGCGGCGCAGATCCGGAGATCGCCGACTGTCTCTCTCTCCTGCGCGAGTGGTTGCACCACCCTGGATGAGGCATCTGGGCTGGGGCAGGGCCGTTAGTAGAGGAGGTCGACTGAGGGCGCGCGGCCACCAATCGTCAAAGTCTGCTGCTGACTGACTGTCAGTCACTGACTGAGCAATCGCATCGGCGGTACTAGTAGGGTTACTACGCGGTCTCTGCGCGGGATGGGCTGGGGCCCTGCGCCCCAGTCGATTGCCGCATAGTTCGTCGTAGTAGCCCTATCATAAACCTCTTATTCACACCTTGCACTTTGAAAAAAAGAAATGTCCGACTTTTGTCGAAGATCCGGAGGGTTTATCGGAGCATCACCCGACTCTTTTTGGGGTATGTAGAGTACAGATATGACTCTATTAGAGTACGTTCATGTGCGGTTGGTGTTGAGTCTTGTCTCTTGACAACTTGATTTTTCGAGAATATATTACTTTCACACAGTATCACATACTCTAGATATAGACGCTCTCGGAGAGTCTCGTTCATGGAACAAGGTCAAGCCAAGGATTCTTGTGAGCAATATAGTAACAGTTCCTCACTTTGAGGACGCCTCCATCCTGTGGCTTTGCATCGGGCTTGGCGGGGCGCGGGGGCAGGGCCAAGGGGGGCAGAGGTGGCGCTGCGGTGGGCGCGCGGGCGGGGCGGAGCCGGGAGAGAGAGGGGGAGAGGGAAAAGAAGGGGGGGGGGGGGGGGGCAACCGAAATTTCAATTCACCCACGCTAAAATTGTGCGGTGTCCCTCCAATCTCTTCTCGGTGATTGGGTGGGCTGGCGGCGGGATGACCCAGCGTTGGCAGCTTGCTCCTCCACCCTCTTCTTGCGCTGCTCCGTCTGGTAGGTCTGGATGCGCACGTGCCGCGGCTGGTCGAGGATCTCGCCGATCTTGATGGTCATCATCTCGGCAAAGCCGATGGTGCTCTCGGTGGTCTCCTCGACGCCCATCCGCTCGAGGATGGCCGGATCGGCGTCGCCGACGTAGATTGCCATGAAGCCGGTGTACAGCTCTTTTAGGTGCGCGTCGTTCCAGTTCTCACTTGCCCTCTCTTCCGAGGTACTCAACTTGCCCGGCATCGGCCACGGCGGATGGCTCGGCGACGCCGTTAGTGGCGAGCGGCTCGCCGAGGCGACGAGGGCCCTTCAGCTTGAGTCGGACGGCGCCTTCGCTGTGTCTGCCAAGGCCGCCGCCAGCGCTGCCTCCGCCGCTTCCGCCGCAACATCGTCCGCCGCGACGGGACTCGGCTATGCGCTGAACTCGACGGCCACTGCCATTGGAGGCGGCGTCAACGCTACCGCCGCAGCCATCGGCGGAGGTGCAACTGGCCTCAGCTCCTACGTTGGCGCAACTGCCGCCGCCATCGGCTCCACCTTTGCTCGCTTCCCGCTGGGCGACTTTTTTGTGGCCCCGCCGCCGCCGCCGCCGCCCTCGCTTCTCGACCTGCCTACCGACTTGCTTGCGCGTGTCGTCTCGCAGTCTCCGCCTTTGGCTGCCACTGCTCCCCCGCCGTCCTCTCCCCGGCGCGCACGGGTGAGTGGCTCCTCGCGACCAGTGAGCGGCCCCTCGCGACCGGCTGGCCCGTCCTCGCCTGCAGCGCGGACAGCCAGCCGAAAGGCAAGCACTTCCTTCCGCATCACTCGCACCCGGCCCGCGAGCGCCCCAAAGGCGGACGAGACCTCCGCCACACACACTATGCTGTTGTTCCTCGGCTACACACGTGCGTGTCGTACTTCGACCATAGGCGGCTTCGGTCAAGGCGGCTTCGGTCAAGGCGACCGCCGCCGAGCTCAGCCGCGCCCCGCTCTCGCTGCTGCGGTGGCGACGGCCAGCCGACGAGGACTTCTCGCCGTAGAGCGAGCTGCTTGGCCGAGCACCCCTACAGTTGTACCTGCGAGCCCAACTCTTTGCCGCTCCATTACTGTTCCCTGTCTAACCCCCCGCTCGACCCCCACTGCCCACAGACACCCACAGATGCACCGACACACCCACTACGCTTGCGTGTGCTTTTGTTGCGGCGTTGTCACTTCGGCAGTCGACCTGGTGCAGCACACCTCCTTTGTCGTTACCTGGTCTCCCCCCTCCCTGTCCGTCCACCCCTTAGCACTTATCTCCGGCCTGTTGTTGAACCATCTGTGTATATGACCCTCTACTCCACTCTTCCCCGCCCCTCGCGACGCGAGCACGCGACACACGCGCACGTGCTCTCTCGCGGAGCTAGGATGCTAGGTCGAGCGGTCCGAAGAGCGCACCCCCCGTCGAGGTGACCCCGTGGCCGTGTAGCTCCCCCCCGTCGGTCTCCGCGAGAGAACATCCGCCGAGAGACACGCGAGGCGCGCAGCGTCCAGCCGACTCCAGCCGCGTCTCTCCGCGGCGAGGGTTTTCTGACTTAGTTTTGTGTCTGCGCGGCACTCTTGCTCTGGGGGGAGGCGGGGGCCCTAGGGGGTACCCATGCGGGGGGGGAGATGGGGTCCCGGAGCCCGCCGCAGGCGCCGATTTTTTTCGGGGTTCTTCTTTTTTGATTTTCTATTTGTTTTCATGAGAATTTCGCGTATTCGCGACCATTGCTATCACGCCTTGCGACAGCTTGTCGGCGCTGCTCACCGTGCCATGATGCACAATTGATCACCTGCATAGCTCGCGGCCTTAGTATCCAGCATTCAGTGACGACCTGATCGTACGGCCAGTAGGAAGGTGTCCTTCCAGCGCGTGCACGCTTCTGACGCAATGCGCGTCACGCAAACTGCCTCGGATCGGCTGCTGGCACTCTCGAGGCTATGCCTACACAGCCTCGCGCGCATGGGCAGTCAAGAGGGACCACGCACCTTCTCAGGACAGCGCCGGTAACTCTCTCTTGGACCGGCAAACGTGGTGGTCTCGTCACCAATGTGGGACCAGTGCGGCATCGCGCCATCGACAGCTCTGAACTGCGCCTCACCACTGACCGGGAAGGCCGCCAAGTGGGCCAGCACAGGTCGCACATTGTGGCAGCAGTCAGCAGTGCATGTCTGATAGCTAGAGCAGCAGCATCAGGGTCGCAGGGTCGGATCGTGTCAAGCCTCTCGCCCGGCCGGCCGCGTGCAGACGTCGGCCTGTCTGCTGTCTGGAGTGATATCGGTCGGCGGTCAGTACGACCGATCACGTTAGAGTTTTCTTATGGCTGGAGGGTCTATCTGTATGTACTCCTCGAGATCTTTCCAAATCTGCCCTCTAGTTAATCGTACTTGATCGGAAAGTCGGTGCTAGTGGAGACTAGTGGAGCCGGGGCCCCGTTTCCGCGCTAGAGGGTGCGCAGCGTCCTAATCTAAAATCTGAGGATTCAGGATTCAGGCATCGCTTCAGTGAGGCCAAAGTGAGTTTGTGGATGTGTGAGAACGGTACGGGACACGAGGAGTCACGCGGACCGACTCGTCGGTAACTCTGCTGCACGCCGTTTCAGAATTTTTCTCAGCGTGGTAGGACGGGTCGGCCCGGAGCATCAGAGTAGCCGTCGTGGTCGTGGTGAGCAGCGCCGGCCACTCCGGCGCCGCGTCGGCACCGTGGGAGCATGTCCACCGCCACTTCGCGGTCGCAGCGCTGTTGTCGCCCAAAACGCCGCTATGTACCTTTTCGGGCAAACCATCGAGCTGCATGTCGATTTCGACTTGAGACGGCAGCATGAACGATGATGGATGAAGGCATCACGTCTCTATGCTGCCGTCAAGTTGGAGCCAGTCTGCGGCGACCACAGCGCTCAGAAAGGTACATAGCGAGCTTTTCAGAGTCAAGCTTTTGCGCGAAATCCCACAACACTGGTGGATTTTGGTACGCACCGCACCCTCTATCCGCGCACTGCGGCGCGGCGCACGGTGCCTCCGGGGGGGCCCGCCTCCCCCCAGAGCACTCTCGAGAGTAGACCGGGTGGCACACGTGTAAGTGCCGACGTACCCTGCTATCGCGTTCTCATCTATCCACCGGCGCCCGCGAGATACGCAGCACGACAATGCGCTGCTCCGGGAAGAGCTCTCCCGAGAAAGCACCCTCTGCCCCTAGGCCGCCCCCGTCGCCCTCGGGCTGCGGCCAAGCCTGCACATAGCTCAGGCCCTGTGCTTCGAGCGCGGCGAAGAAGTCGCGGTCGTAAAACTCGTAGCGGTTGAGCGTGTGCGCGTAGTACATGCTTACTCCTCGCGCTCCCCCACGCGAGCACAGCAGCCGCCCCAGCAGCCGCGGCAGCATCGCCATTCCAGCCTCGTTGTAGACCAAATCGCTGCCGACGACCAGCTCCCACGCCTCGCTCAAGATGGCGACGAACGGCCCTCGCGCCGCCGCCTCACAGCCACCTCCCTCTCGCCCGCCGTCCGCCTTGCCGCTCGCGCTGCCCTCCGCCTCTGCGCCCAGCTCCTCCTCCTCCACCCAGCGCCAGTCGAGCGCCGCCGTCTCGAGGCGCGGGAGCGGCACCTAACGAGCACAGATCATGATAGCAACAAGAGGACAGCAGCCGCCTGGGCAGCGGCAGTGAGGCACCCCCGCCCGCCGGTTGGCCTCCACGTTCCTCGTCAGCCAGCCGAGCGCGTTCCCCTGCTCCATCTCGGTCAGGACAATCCTCGAGGGCGACAGGTCGCGCGCGAGGTGCATGCCGAGATAGCCCGTCCCGGCGCCCAGCTCGAGCACGCAGCGGCCCGCCACCAGGCCGGGCGCCGCGCGGAAAAAGTCGAGAAGAACCTACCCGATGTGTCAGGACTTGTCCGAGGACAGATCATGCTGGCCAGGCACCGCGCGGAGAGAGGTAAGCCTCCGCAGCGGCCCACACATGACCGCCTGTCGTCTGCTCGGTGGTGACGCTCTGGTACGATGCTGCGTCCTCGATGCGAATGGGCGGCGGTGTAGAGGGCATATAACCGCGAGTTGGGGGGGGGAGAAGAATTCTGATTCCTCGGCCTCACAGCACGGCGCGGACTGGCGCGGACTGGCGCGGACTGGCAACCGGCGAGAGAAGAATTCGTGCGCCGAACAAAAATCAAAAAGTATTATCCTAACGGTGTGGGGGCGCGGAGGGCTTGTTGGCGAGCCAAAATGGTGTTTTCCGAGGCGCTGCGCTAGGCTCAGACGGCGAGTTCGCGCTGCGCTAGGCCCAGACGGCGAGTTCGCGCTGCGCTAGGCTCACAGATGCGAGTGCGCTGCGATAGAAGAAAAAAACAGGTTCGAAACGACAACCGAAGGGAGGACTGTGTAGTGTAATCATGTGTCAAGAATCACGTGCTGCTGCTGCTGCTGCTGCTGCTGCTGCTGCTGCTGCTGCTGCTGCTGCTGCTGCTGCTGCGCGGCGAGCGCCGTCGCCGAGGCGGGCCTCGGCGGAGAGCGCGATTATGCGGCCTTTCCCGCGACCCGCACAAAGAAGAGGCGCCCTCCGTCAGCCTCGACCTGCCACCGGCTCGCGTCGACCGACCCGGCCGCGTGCCACACCTCCACAGCCCAGTGCGCCAGCCCGCAGAAGTTGCCCGTCGCCTCCTCGATGCCCCACCCCGTGGGCCACGCGGCCAAGGCGGTGCCGAGAGGCGGCGGCGGCGCCGCGGTCGCCTCGAGACGCGCCGCGACGGCGTCAAAGGCGATCCGCCTCGCGCCCGTCGCGGCCGCCTCGGCCAGCAGCGCCTCCCCGGCCAGCCGCGGGAGGTCGCCCTCCGTCTCGAACCAGCACGACGAGCGGCCGTCGGCGCACGCCTCGTCCCACGCCTTGAGCTGGCGGACAAAGGCCGCCAAGCTCTTGAGGTGTGCATACTTGCGCTCGGTGTGCGCGCTCGCCATCTTCAGCCGCGCGTCCTCCCATCCGCGCCGCGTGTGGCCCAGACGTACTCCTCGAGGAGGGCGCGCATCTGCGGCCAGTGGAACTCCGCCATCGAGTTGGTCTGAAAGTAAGTCGGCACGTCGCCGTGCGCCGCCCGACGGAACTGCTGCAGCGCGCGGAGCTTGGTGTGTTCTCCGCGCCAGTACATTGGCGAATTTTTGAGGTTCGCGCCGATCGAGAGGATCTTGCGGGGGACAGACTCGTCCCCCGCCTCGAGGGCCTGCACAAGCTCGGGCACCGTACGGTGTGCCTCCGCCAGCTGCTGGGAGACGCAGTAGCCGGCCTGCTGCGACGCCTTGAGCCGCATCAGAAGATTAGTGAGGTGGATCTTGAGCACGGCGCCAAGCCGCCCATCCGCCGCAAAGACGAGATGCGAGACGGCGACGGAGAAGTCGACCTTCCGCAGCCGCGGCACCGTCGGGTCGCCGGAGCCCGCGACAAACACCGTCGGGTAGCACATCCCGAAGAAGCCCTCCGTCGCGAGCTCGCGCACCGGCGCCCCCGAGCTGCGAACCCAGTCAGCGCTGCCGACGCCGGCGCCGGCAAAGAGGGCGTCTGCCTTGGCGCTGTCACCGTCGAGCAAGTCGAGGACGAGGCGGCGCACCTGCGGGCCGGAAGCGAGTGGCGTCGGCGCAAGCAAGGAGTGGGCTAGGGCACGCGAGGCTCCGCGGCGGCACCTCGGCATCGGCGTCCTTGGAGTCGATCGGGGAGACCAGCCCCGAGTGGCTCACCGAGCCGTCCCCGTCGACCTCGGGCGGGAGCTCATTCTGCGCCGGGGCGGGACCGCCCTCCTCCTCCTCCTCCTCGGCCGCGCCGGCGGCGCGCGCCGGCTTCTCGTGCACGGGCAGCCCAGGCAGCTCGGCGCGCTCCTCTGGCACGGCCTGCTGCCTTTGCTGCGACATCACGACGTCGGAGTAGTACCGGTTGGGGATGTGAAGGAACCAGCGGCCGCTGAGCCGCTCGCCGGAGGGGAGGTCGGGGCCGGAGTACCGCTCCCAGTCGGCGGATGCGGAGTAGAGAGCTCGCACATCATACACGTCTACGAAGTAGCTGTCGACGGTCGGCCGGTGCGGCGAGCCGCCCGGCGGGTCGCCGCGCACGAGGCCGGTCAGCGCGCCCTGCACCGATCGCCTATCCGCCGCGAAAGCGCGCCCACCGTCGTGGCGCGCGCCCGCCTTGCGCAGGATGATGAGGCCCAGCTCGCTCGCGTGCCGAGGCAGCTCGCGCGCCACCTTGAACATGTCGTTTGGTAACGTCGTGCAGCTGCCGGCGGACGAAAGCATGCCGCCCGACATCCTCCTGATGCGCATCACGGGGATGATCCGCGCGATCAGCATGCTCTCGACCTGCGACAGGCACTTGAGCCATGACGGGGCGACGCGGAGGTGCATGTCGTTGTGCCGCATAGCGTCTGCGGGCGGCCCGAGGTCGTCCGGCAGGACGGTGCGCACACCCGAGAAGAGCTGGCAGCGGCCGCGCGACTCGCGGCGCCGGTGCTTCCGGCAGTCGGTGCACACGTAGAGCAGGCGACGGAGGTGGCGCCAAGCCAGCTCATCAGGCGACGCGCGCCACACGCTGAGCGAAACGGGCGGCGTGCCTTCCGGCCGGAGCGGCGGCTCCACGGCCGGAGTGCACATTAACATCGGACGGCACGTGTCGCAGACGTGGCAGCGCCTGCGGCACTGGGCGGCGCAAGAGTGAGGGGGACGGGTGCACTCGCCGCACCGCCGCCGCACCGCTCAACGCGCACCGGACGCGGTGCAGCTGCTCGCCGGCCTCAAAGGCGACGCCCGCCTCGCGCACGCGCGGGTTGGAGTGGGCGGAGGCGTCGCCGAGCACGCGGTCGATGGCCTCGTCGCACACTTCAAAGCCGCCGCTGCCGAGGGGTGGAGGGAAGGGGACGGAGGAAATGGTCGGATGCGATGGTGGCGGCTGAGAGCGAGGGCTAGTGGCGGTGGCTATGGTGGCCTCTCCGCCCGGGGAGAAGAGCGCATCATGCAGGGCGTGGTGTGCTAGACGTGAGCGGCACATATGTGTGTGCCCGTCGCCGTCAGCGGCTCCGTCGGGGACGGCAGCCCGGCGGATGCCGTCGCCGCCGGCCGGCGTCGACGACCCGAAGACAGTGCGCAGCTCGCGGTCGCGGAGCGACAGCTGGCAGCCTGCCCACTGCGCTCCGAGTCGTTGCCGCAGCACGCGGAGGTTGCCGACGTACGAGAGCAGAGTGGCGTCGGTTTCCTTCCCCTTTTACCCCAAAACTCTTTTTCCCCAACCCAACAAAATCATTGGGGGGGGGGGGGGGGGTGAGCAAGCACCGCCGGCGTGCAGCGAAACGGGGCGAGCGTGCGCGACCCTGACGCTCGGCGCGAGGCGGCGTCTCCTCTCCGCCCTCCATCAGGTAGAGCGCGGCGGCCCACGAGCGGAGAGAGGCCTCATCGAGCCGGTCGGAAGCGACCGAGCTCGTCACCACCCCGGTCGCCTGCGCGTGCTCGTACGCGTCTCGTGCGACCTGCCTCGCGGCCAGTCCAAAGAAGTCCCTCGTCGTCGCGCCGGCGGCCGCCGCCGCCGGCAGTGGAGGCGGGTCGACGTGCGGCTGCGGCTGCGGCGGCGGCGGCGGCGGCGGCGGCGGCGGCGGCGGCAACCCCGCAGCGGAAGCGGCCGGCCCGGTCGGCGGTGGCGGAGGGAAAACGGCAGCGACTCCGCCCGGCGGCAGCGGCACCACCGCATCCGCGCCACCACCGTCGGCGAATTGCTGACGGCAGCGCTCCAAGACGCGAGAGCCACCGGGCCGGCCTCCAACGCCGAGCGGGCGCGGAGGAGTGTTGCCGACGTCCGAGAGCGCAGTGCGTTGTCGCGGCGAGCCTCCGCCGCCACCTCCGCCGCAGGCGTGCGGCCCGCTCGACTGTGACATGAAGCAAATCTTGCCCAGACACAATGACTGCCTCGCCTGCTGCTTTCGCCGAGTCACGCCGGGAGTTTGAGAATTCTTTTTGCCACTGAAACCTTTTTTGGCCGTGATACTGGTGGTTAAGCGACCAGCATGGCAGCCTCCAGCGACCTGCAGGCTCTGCAGCTTGAGAATCGGAACCTGCAGCAAAAGCTCGACGGAAGCAGCTCAAGATCAACGAGCT